CCCCAAAACCCCAAAACCCCAAAACCCCAAAACCCCAAAACCCCAAAACCCCAATAACTTCAGAGTTAATTGAATGAATTAATATCTCCTTGGCTTAGCCATCACTTTGTGGAGGAATTTGGTTTCCATTGGTTTGTACTGACAAGGAGAGGGCTTATTTTTCTGAGTTCTTTCAATATCATATGTGAACATCTTCCTCTTTCCTTTAGGGAAATTTATCTTTGGAGAGTCTCTTTTTACTATTTTAGTAGCCTTCTCTAATTCTTCAAGTGTGCCTAAAGAAAATTATGGTTGGGAGCTTACTGTTATTGCAAGCGGGAGATCCATCCTTCTTAACTCTCCAAGCATCTTTTCCATCATGCTTTCCAGGAGGTAAGATTTTTACACTCTGAACTTTCTTTAGGATAGACACTTTAGAAGGTGAAGTTGGAGCAGGAGTAGTGGCTGCATCAAACTCAATCTGATCAAAGTAAGAAGATCTATAAGACTTCCCTATTTTTCCTTGCTTAAGATGCTCTTTCTTTGTCGGAGAGTAATGATTAGGACCTGGCAATTTTGATGATTTCTTGATTGTGATATCCAAGAAATTGCCTTTAGTACCTCCTTTGAGAATTCCCAGAGGGCCCTTCCATACCATTGTCTTGTTATATTTTCCTGGCTCAGGGACATATTCCTTTCTCTTGACATGTTGCTGAAGATATCTTCTATCCTTTTCTTTCGGGAAGGAGAATTTAGGCGTGCCATCTGAAGATAGAAAATGCTTTGGGATATTATACCCTTGTATTCCAAAATTTGCTCCAGATCCATCTATCTGCCCAGTCATTTCTTTAATGCTAATCTCTGTTTTCATTTTCTTCGGAACTAAAGGATTTCTTGTTCTAGAAGTAGGGCTGAAGGTGCCATGAGTAATGCTCGACCCAGTCATTGAGAAAGTACTTTCTCTATTGTCCAATCTAGTAAGGCTCATTTTATTTTAATTTTGATAATAATTTTAGTAAGGAAATGCACTTCAGGGGTTTTGGGGTTTTGGGGTTTTGGGGTTTTGGGGTTTTGGGG